GAAGGCCACACGTAGCCACGTTTCTTCGTACGCGCGCCGCGCGCGGCCGGTTGGGTACGTAGGCGCGCGGTGGGCTTCACTTTCACTGCACCGGCCGGCCTCGCTCGCTTCGTCACCCCGACCCAAAATCTCCCGTGGCCGGGCAGCCGGCCCGTGATCCCGCGCGCACCGTTCCGGCGTTTCGGCCGATCGACGCGGGAGCGGGAGCGGGCGCGCGCGTGGTCGGTGGTCGCGCGGGCGCGGAACCGCGGAGCCCAGATTTTCTCCCGTGACGGGCCGTGTACCGCTCGGGAGTGCGGGCAGACCGAATTTTTTATTCATAATAATTAATAATGCAGAAATTAAATATATAATAAAACAAAGTCAATTTTTACGAAAATAGGAAGGACGCTATTGCATAGGGCGTCCAGGTGTGGACGCTGTTGTAGACAACATCCAGATGGGGACGCTTCTTACAAGGGCGTCCATAATGCTGCAGTTGAAGACCTCAAAGAGCCATCCAATTCACCGGACTAAGATTGGACTTTGAATCCAATCACACAATGGTCGAACTCTACCTCGTTACTCCTATGCAGACTATTGTCTCTCGTTGATTGCTTGCTTGCCGAGCAGGCACCGCTCTCTACCTAATCTGCCAGACAGGGTCGCCATCCCCCGGCCCTCCTTCAATGCTTCCGCTGTTCCGCATGACGGACACTCTACTCGGGGTCATATGTGAACAGCCACCACTTTTATTTTGAGATATTTGATTAGTTTGGTTTTTGTTCTGGTCCATTGTTTACTACGCATCGAGCTCTCTGCTGACTGAATCTTGAGAAGCGACTGACTGAATCTTGAGAAGCGGCCGCCAGATGAACTGCATGCGAGGTCTTCGATCGATGCTTTTTTTTTTCCTTTTGCAACAGGCCAGAGATTGGAAGTCATCGGGCAATAGATGATCTGATAGAAGGAGGATGTTTGCGTCCTACCCTTCGTAATTTTGCATTCTTTGTAAGCTTTCTATTGCAGAACATATACACCTGAATACCAAGATCTATGAACTGAGCATACTTGCTCGGCCAGCCACCTGGAGTGAGGCGATGCCTGGACTTGCTGTTAGGAACCAAGAGGGGCGGACAGACGACGCAACACAAGCCGGCACGAGTGGGTTATTGTTCCAGCATGACTCAACCAGAACGTGGATAGCGGCTACGACCTCCCGGCGTGAAGGCAGAAAGCGGCGGTGTCCTCTCCGGATTCGAGAGCCTTCGAGGTGAGTTGAGGTGAACTGCAACGGCAGATTCCTGACGTTGTGGAGGCGGAAGCCGGAAGGCGGCTGTTGCAGTCTCCCAGAGTCGAGGTGAACGGCGGGCATGGCAGCACCTTGCCCGAGCCCTGCACCAACATTGGGCCCGAGGAGAGGAGAGTCCACAATGGCACCTCTCCGCATGGCGGCATGGGCGCCCCAAACCGAGCCTGGACGTGCTTCGGTACAGCGTCCACCTCTGGACACTTCTTAGAACACCGTCCAAGTCTGGACGCCCTTTGAAACAACGTTCATGCTATTTTTACAAATTCAATTTAAAATTTACCACTTATTTAATTCAAGACTTATTAATTACTATAAATAAAAAATTCGGGCGGGCAGATAAGGGTCCAATTTAATTTATCCCTCAACCATAAATATAAGATATCTTTGTTCCCAACTATTAAAAACCATTATAAAATGATTTCCTCGGTGATTTTCACATTCATTGATCTAGTTCAACTGTCTAAAGTCGGCATATGGGGCCCATATGTTGAATATTTTTAAAATGATTTCCTCGGTGATTTTCACTGACGTGGCTCATTGGCCTAGTCAAACCGGTTAAGTCAGCATATGAGCCCCACATGTCAGTGTGAGTATTTTCAAAATGACTTCCTCGGTGGTTTTCACTAACGTGGCTCATTAACCTAGTCCAACCAGCTAAGTCAGCACATGGGGCCTACATGGCATCGATCGTGAGTAAATGGCATGCGGCGGAAGCCACTGACGATAGAGGCAGTGGGGCGAGCCAAGGACGACGGGGACTTCAACAACGCCCTCCATCGTGCCACGTCTCTCAACGGCGGCAGTGTCTGGGCACAGCAAGTCGCCGTCTCGCCTCTAGGCCGGTCCATCGTCACTCCATCTCCAAGCCGCAACGTTGCTTCGCCTCAAAAGCTGAGCCACCGCTGCTCCACTCGAGGCCAGGCCACCACCACGCGTCAGGAGCACCCAACCACCACTCCGCCTCGAGGCCACGTTGTCGCTCCGGCTTCTGCCGTGCCATCGGTCCACCTCAAGGCCAAGTTGTCGCCGCTTCGCTTGAGGCTAGGCCGCTATCACGCGTTAGGGCCTCCCAACCGTGGCTTTGCGTGGGCAGTCCCGACTAGAGGAAGTTGAGGAAGAAGATTGGTTGTGCCAAGATTCTCGTCGTACCTATCTCGATGCACGGCGCTCGGGGAGAAGAGGAGCTATCAACGAAGAAGAGGGACAGAGGCAAGCTTGCTTTGTCCCGCCACATCGGATCTAGCATTTGGTGGCTAGCTCGGTTGGGGATGGCGTCGGACCGGTCCGCCCCGTTGTCCTCACCACGATCATTCTTCCCTCTTCCTCCTTCTACTCCATGTCAGGTGTCAGGGGTGTCGGGCGTCGTCTGATGTCCAGTGTTGGGGGTGTTGGGCGTCGCCTGGTTGCTATCGGGGAGGAGGAAAAGAAGTCATGCGCTGGCCCATCCATCCTCTCGCCTCCCACATTGCCGCTCCTCGTCGCCACTGCTTTACGTCGTCGATGGAAGGGTGCAGCAGTGGTGGCACAGAGCGCGGACAAGGAGTGGAAGTGTGGAACGCGCTCCCTACATCCTTCGATGCCTTCCACTGGCCCACCATGCCATCACCGTCTCCACCGCCGGAATTGTGCCGCAAACAAGGAGGTGCTCAAGACAACCGCTCCTCGTCGGGGCACCGCTTGACACAGAAGGCATGCGACGCATCGGGTTACTGCTGCTGTCACCTAGTTGGTGCTCGCTGTCGTGCACCCCATTGCTATTGGCAATAAAACGGGTAGAGTGAAAGCGGGGTGTAGAAGGAAAGAGAGAGAGAGAGTGAGGGGAGTATGACAAGTGGGCTTTACTTTATTTTCTTTTGATAACTGGTATTTCACGTAAGTAAATACTACTATCAATATTGTTCCGAGGGTCAAATTGCACTTGTTTCTATACGATACTCCGCCTCCGCTCTCCATGTCGCGTGCGTCACACCAGCGCGTAGCCCAGATATTCTCCCGGGCCGGCCCCGTTCACCGCGCGTGGATAGAGGCCGGCTCGTCTGCTCCTCGCGGGCAGATCGAACGCACGGCCCATCTTGCGGTCGGTGTCTTGTCTCCGCCTCCGGCGCCGCTAACTCTCGTCGCGTAGTCGCGTGCGTCGACGCGTCACGCGCTGCTTTTTCACTAGGCGGAGTTGCCAACTTTCTGAAAAGCCTCTCTCTGCACCAAAAATAAACACCGTAAAATCCCAACGATAAGACAGCGGCATATGCACCCGTGCAGCAAAAGCTTCTGGTTGGTTTGTTGCTCAACACTGGTAGTGGAGTAGTGGACTAGTGGCATGTGTGCACGAGGGTTATTGATCTTCTCTTGATAGAATACTTCACTTGTACTAGAGCTACCTAGCGCCTAGTAGCCTAGTTCATTTGACCTGCAACGATAGGGTGGTAGTGCCTACTGGGTGCGAAGTGTAGGGACGACGACGACGCCGGGAGCCTGGGGAGCACGGAGGATAGGATAGCAGAATCTCTAGGGTTCGTTTCTAAAATGATGCTACCGATATTAACGAATCATCTAGCTCCCGGTTCTTTCTTCCCACCTAGAATCAATTGAAAATCTTATCGGCTCTGCAGCTAATCATATCCTTTCAACGGCCAATGTGATCTTTAAGAGCAAGTTTAATAGTATAGCTTACTATTGGCTCCAATTCATCTATAGTCAATCTAATCATCAATTTATACAACAGTTGCTTACTATATTATTAATATATAATCTTATCTGTCATACATACACTGTGTCTTGGAGTCCGTGCTATAATCTGTAACCCGCTGCTCTTCTCTCTCATCTTTTATTTTATTAAAATATGTTTATAGCTTGACTAATAATCTACTATCCTATCTGCTCTAAGTTACAATCTCGGCTAGGCTGGCACGGTTTACTGCTACCAGATATTTCTTCACAGACTGACCAAAGGGTAAATCAACCAGGCATTTTTGTTTTTTTTTTTTGCAGCTAACGAAATCCTTTCAACGGCCAATGTAATTTTTAAGTTACACGCTCGGCTAGGCTGGCACGGTTTACTAATTACTACTCCCTCCGTCCAAAAAAAAACAAACTCTAGTTTCCGTGTTTAACGTTTGACCGTCCGTCTTATTTGAAAAAATTATGAAAAAAATAAAAAGACAAGTCACGCATAAAATATTAATCATGTTTTATCATCTAACAATAATGAAAATACGAATTATAAAAAAATTTCATATAAGACGGACCGTTAAAGTTGGACACGAAAACCCAGGGTTTATCTTTTTTTGGACGGAGGGAGTACTGTACTACAGATATTTGGCATTAGCAAATATGGAAACCGTGCTTCCAAAGTGTAAATCAAACTGGCATTTTTGTTTTTTTGCGACAAACACGGTACAATATGGAGCAACCGAGCAAGTGTTTGTGATTAAATGATTAATCAGTTGGCCATGGACTGATAATTGCGACGCTTTTGTCGCTCTTGCACAAATTGAGAGCTCGCATTTGTAAGATACTTAGGAAATAGAGAGAGAGGAATCTGGCATTAGCAAAGCACCCTGCTGCCAAACTGAAAGACAACTCCTAAGAATCTTCCTGTGCCAAAAGGGGCAGCAGTGTGTACATTCAGCCAGCGCCGAAAGAGGCAACTCGCTGGCAATTCCTAAGCCGGCGAGGTTGGTACTATACTGTACACATAGCAGCAAAAAACACACAAAAAATGGTACTGTATGAACTTTGCACGAATCAGGATGGATTTTGATTAAGTACACAAAAAAGATTGATCTGGTTTAGAAGATGACATGACAACAACATTACATTACTTATGAACGTAGAGTGAATTAGGAATCCCTGCTCCTCCAGTACTAATTAAGATCACTCTCTAAGCTACAAACATTCCGAGGGTGTGTGCGCGCTGATTGCCCAGCAGCAAAAGACAATGTGGCGACGACGGCCGCCGGCGGCTACATCAGAAGGCTGCGGATGATCGCCGCCTGCGCGCTGCTCATGTCGGACGTGGCCAGCAGCTCCGACAGCCTCTCGCTCAGGTCGTCGACCTCCTGATGCAAGCTCCTGATGTAGTTGCAAGTCTCCTGCAGAACCCTCGAAGATGGCACCTGGATTTGGAGAAGAGAAGATTTCTCTGTCAGCTCTTGAGATTTGGTGCTTAATTACAATTGTTGAAGGAAAAAGGAATGCAAAATGATGCGATGCTTGGATTGTTTGACATAGTCGATTAGTCGATTGGTAACATCAGTTCATATGATCTTCAACTTCTGCTTAGGAATTAGAAATAAGGAGCATTCAACTTGCGCTGCTATTTTTCTTTTGCCAAGGCAGTAGGTGTAACAACCGATCATGTTCTACCCCCATCTTAATGTGGTCAAAGCTAGAGTGAACGGTGAATAATGCTAATCTATTATAACTAGAATAAATTCGAGCTGTTATTTAGACTGGGAATTTGTGGAGCAATTAACCATTTAGTGCATAGAATTACATACTCTATCATTGCTCCGGAGTCGAGCCTCGGGGAGGAGATCCTGCAACTTGGATACAAGATCGCTGATTTGCTCGTCGGTGATCCTCGACGAGCCTGACTGCCTCGACCGTGACCTCCGGCTTGACATATCGGCCAATGTAGGTGGCAGCAATCGATCTCAGCCAACGTAGGAGAGATGTATGGGAGAGCTAGCTGTTCTTGCAAGAGAGACGCGCAGACAGTGTCTGTTTACGGTTGGCTGGCGTAAGACAAAGTTTGAGAAACACAAGACAGCCGCACGGGAGAAAGAAATGGGTGGCTACTGGCGTGTTAAATAGACTACTACTAGCTGCAAATAGAGGAACCTGATGAGATCAGGCAAGAGGGAGAGTGACCTTCCCGTTTACAACAAGTGTGTCACCTAGCTCAAGGCTCTGACCAACAGGGGCCACACTACAATATGGCCCCAATGGCAGTCACATGCCAGAAACATGAATTGGGAAGAGGAACTCTTAGAGATGGAAGAGAGGGACAGGCCATACTGAGGAGTGATGTGTAGTGTATGTTCTGCTACTCGTGTATTGCCCCTTGCAAGTGGGAGAAGCTCAGAACAACAGGAGATAAAGTGCTGGTGAGAAGGCGACTTGGAGGCCTACACTGTCAGAAAGAACCACGCAAACCATGTTACTTGGCCTACAAAAAATGTGTGGATTAATTATTATTTTCCCCCACATTTGATATTTAATAATATATATGTATATGAAAAAAAATGGTGAGGCTACATTTATTGATGGATGGCTTTGTATCCATGTCTAGGATTCAGTATACAGCCATGCATGAAGCATACACCTCTTGTCTTCCTAATCAGGACTAGGAGCTCTTTTTTTTTTTTGAACGACTCACACAAGACTGTGCGAGGTTCTATTGATAGAGCAGGAGAAAAATTACAAGATTACAACCCTGGAAGGTCGTAACCAGGAAAAAGGAAAAAAATATACCACCATCCACACATCAACAGTGCCAACACAGAACCAAGAAAAGGCTAGCACCGGGCCAGCAGCCGCTAAGCGTGACCGACCGCCTCTAGGCAAACAAAGAAACACAGCTGAGATCCCCCAAAACCCAACCCTTACAATCAACACAAAGCCCCGCTCTATCCAAGTCTTCAGGAGTCAGGGAGAGAGGGTGAGAGAGAAGAATGGAACTCCTGTCCTTCTAGGCCCTCCGACGTGGCCAATTTGTAGAGACTAGGGCGCCGCCACAGGAGGAAGAAATCTAGAGAGAGTTTGCACCAATTGGATGGGGGGTTTCGGCTAAGGGATACCTAAACGACGTCTCCAAGGAGAGAAGCGACGAAAACACTGCCGTCGTCGTCCGTCAAGGTCTCAAAGAGAACCGAGACTCGACTTTTACCCAACGTCCACACACGAGGGATGAGACGGCATGATAACGCCCCCAGAAGGGGAATGACGCTTTGAGCGTCACTGTTGCCGGCCCGGCCGAGGCTGGGCTGGGTTTTCACCCGCCGCTCACCACCTGCGAGTCCATGGCTGGCGCCCCGATGCTCCACACTGTCCAACCTCTGCCGACATGTGGGACCACTACACCGGCACCCCCCGCCGGCCAGCCTTCATGCGCCGTAGACCGTACCGCACCCACTGGTAGCTCCTCCTCGCACCGTGTCGGCCTCCTCCACTGCTGGCCACGCCTCATCGCGCCAAGCCAGCCTCCCGCCACCGCCCACGCCTCCTCGCGCCAAGCCAGCCTCCACTACCGCCAGCTGCGCCTCCTCGCGCCGTGCCGACCTCCGCTGCCACTAGCCCGCGCCTCTATGCGTCGAGCTGGCCTCCGAGCACTCCTACCGCCGCTGCCGCGCCGGCCAAATGCGGTCTGCCACGCCTCCCCGGCTAGCCGCCCGTGGCCGTCCAGAGGAAAAACAACGCAGGGTGAAGCAGTCAACAGGACTTGCTTCCTAGACAATGTATAGTTATTTTGCTTATAGTTTAATTCATATTTATATAACTAAGCTACATGGTTCTAAACACCTTTGATACCAAACAAGGAAAATAGAATCATGAAAGTCTCTGTCCTCTAGAAACGTGCTCCTGTGTCATATAGAATTACTATGCTTGCTGATGAAACCATCAGTTGATGACCTAACATAAGTAACCGGATCAAGTAATTTTAAAGTGCTGATTACCTCATGATGTGTATCAGACTCAGCAGTGTCACGATGCTGGCTGGTCTCTTCTCCAATCATCTGGCATCCACAGCCCATGTCTTGTGGCGCCTGATAATCAATACAGGCATGGGTCACACTGTAGGTGTTATTACTCAAACTATCAGGGAGAACGAGAACCGATATCAGGGCAGATGCATCAGGTCCCTGCACTGCTTCAACTTTCGGGTATGTAATTTGGAGTTAGACTAGGGAATTGTCTGATTGTAAGTAAATTCTTACATGTGGCATGAAAAGTATTTTACTTTCTGAACTTCTTGAGTCTTGACACCCCCACTTAGCCATTCCTGTTCTGTTGCTCAAGTTAGACCTGATAACAAAATACAGTGAGCAAGCTTTTCAGTCAGTTACATGTTAAACAATGGGAACAGAGAATAAGTATAAATATTTTATGGCTATGGTATCCATGTATTGAGGCTTTAAAACATAACCTGTAATGGCTTTTGGGAAGTTACGATTTGCAACAAATTAGTCTTGGCAACATTTAGCTCTATATGCAACTCTAACAAATGTTCAGCATTTAATTCTGAATATCATAGTCATGTAATCTCAGCTTCCAAGCAACTCTAACAAATGTAAGGTATCTGAATATTTGTGGATCTTAATTACACAACATTTAGTTCTGTATTCAAGGAGGGCTAGATGCAGGGGACTATATGGCACCCTATATTCTCTTCAAAATATATATATATATATATATATATATATATATATATATATATATATATATATATATATATATGGCACCCTATATGTTTACAAACTTAATAGTTATTAAGTATTATGTATAGATCTTGAAGCAAATGAATCATTCCAGGAAACAGTTGCTGCACAACTCAGAGCAATCATTCAGAATTTGACCAGTCAATGCATCTCTCCAGCAGGTAAAGTGCAACTACTGGGTGTATTCCAAGTGCTTTCTTCATTTAACAACAGCTGCATATAAGAGATGTTATTATAATGTTGACATGACAATAAATTATTTAACAGAAACATGTGCATGCGTGTGTGCTTGCATTTTATATCAAGATCTCTAATGCTCCTAAAGCAAATTCCAGCTGCAAGATCTCCTCCATTTTTTTCATTAGTGACTCATTCAAAGTGCAGCACAGCAAAACACCATGTCATAGTAATGCAGATGAAGTTTTCAAGCAGCGCAACGCTACAGATCGAAGTGATCTGTAGAATGCACACATTGCACTAGCTCATAAGCGGGTATTCATTTAAACGAAAACATGTTCATCGGCAAACTGCTAAACAATTAATTGAAATGGCATTCAAATAATTATTGTGCAGCAACATTTATGAACTTAAAGGATATCTAGGATAACGATGGGAAAATCTATAATAACGAAGAGATAATTTAGAAATGACGAGCTAATGACGTAGGATGAGCACAAGATTTAGCTAATAGGTATATTAGCCTGGTAAACATCTGATTAGCCAGCCAATCACAGCATATACATGCGCTAAAAATTCTCTTTGTCTCTCAAGTATTTTTTTTCACAAGATCCACTGCCACTGATAAAATAATCATAAACTGTTAGGTACTGCCTGTTTATAAAATGGTCCCATTGACCTTTTCACAAAGTTAATTAGCCCTAGCTATGTTCCAAGCATAATTACCCTCATAGCTCTTACATAGAATACCAACTACAGGATAAGAAACTCTACAAATGACTATGTAACTCATTAAGTACGATGTAAACAGTATAAAACATCAAATCACCAATCAAAATCAGCTAGTGGGCGATGATCTAAGCATATCTGGACTGCAGCATGTCTCATGGGTCACATGTAGCTCAATCCAATTAGTAGAAAACACCCCGTACAGGTTGTCACGTGGAGGCGATTTATTTATGCTGAGCCCCTTCACCACCACCCAAGGTCACACCATCACACACACACAAGTGAGATCAGTCTCTTGTTTAAGTGCACACTTGATCAAGCAAGAGAATCAAGAGTACCTCCTATCTACTAAACAATAGGTCAAGTAGGCCTGCCTGCCATACAGATGCTAGGAATCACATGCATTATCTTAACATAGTGCTCAGCACTAACAGGGCAGTCACATGCTTTAGCTATTTTAATCTGGAACCCTCTTCATGTGTAAGTGAAAAGCTTTATGTGAATAATGTGTTGTAAGTTTGTTTGTAACCAGATCAATCAGGGCAGTGTAGAACCCCACTGCCTGATACTGCAAAGATCCCCAGGACCGATCCAGTTCAGGAATAATTAGGGTGTACTAATACCATGATAAAAACAGGCTCTTTTTGCCGATCAGTTGTTAATATTTTGGACATTCACAGCATGGTGGAATGAATCGTGGTAAAAATACTTAGAATGTGTCTCAGTTTCTCAGCTGATTTATACTAGACTAACTTGTTGCTCTCAGAAAAAAAAAAGACAAGGAATTAAGTGAGTTACATAATAGAATGCCATCTATCATCACACCTAGGAATGCACTAGGGCTCTAGACAAAAAGAAAAACATGAAAAAAAAATTACCAAGGTCGATACTGTAGTGAAAGAAGCTTCCACTCTCCATATAACTACGGGAGATCTTAATCAGAGGAATTGACAGGTATTACTCTGACACAAGAGGAATCATCTGATCTGGAGATACTGAAGGTCAGCTGTCTTCAGTTCAACACATTTGAGAAATATACAGCCACTTTTGGGAAATCCAAGGCTACTTGCTGATGAATATTAAAATTAAAGTTCTGACAACGTTCTTGGTGCCAATAGCCCAAGGAATACAATAAACCTATTTCAATTAACAAAGAAAAGAATCCAGATCTTGCTGCAGAACCCCAACATGCTCATCATTGAAAGCTAGATTATACTAGGGTGGACGGTTGGTAAACAGTTGTTAAAATAAATTATTTGAGACCAAAGCTATTAGTAACCATCTTATGGAGGAAGCCATTCAGGACCAAGCGTCAATGATGAGAAAAAAAAGAGTAACGAGTGTTACAAGGCAGCAAGGTGACTGCTTGTAAATTTCTTCACTCTGCAGTAAATAATCATGCCTTAGTGTTTGTGAGACAAGAAAGCAAATACATAGGTTTCCAGCAAAGCTGAATAGGAGTTGAATGTGTTGAGATAGCTTCAGGAAGGGAATTCAAGGAAAGGGAGTGGAGATTAAGGGAAAGCATGGAGGTATACTTGTCGTCTTGTCGACACCAAAAGCTTCAGACAACATTTCATGCATGCTGAGTGCATATCACGTCTAAATGTTGTTGTTTATATGTTTCATCCAATCAAATTGTTTCATCTAGGAAGCGGCAGGCAATGGTTAATCAGCATTGTCAAATGAAGTTAATAACTATTTTCATGGTAATAATAGCAACAAGTTACCTGACCACATAAACTACAATTGACTTCTGTAACATACTTCTCGCACTAAACTACCCTGGGTTTTTGGACTTTTAGGGTATAAAACACAACATAGTT